TTTTATGTTTAGTATGTGTTTGAAGGAGTTGGGTCCGGTCGTTCCGAGAGGAGAATCTTGTATCGCGAGTCCGCTACCAGAAACACCGTCGAGCTCTGGAGGAAGCAGTAGGTGCAAAGTTGGAAAAAATATATATGTTGGCTTTACTTAGCTTCTTGAAACGATCGATAAAAACATATATTATTGGAGTTTCGCAACTCGTTTCAAGTGAAGTGGTGTAAAACTCATTTCTCATTATATTTTTTCCAGAAGCTTTTCGTGGGGTAAAGTGTACAGAAATCAACAAGAATTTCCTAAATTTTCATAATTGATATTCCGTGTTGTATAGAAAAACTTCGCTCCGCCTTTTTTCGCAGGCCCTGTTAGATCGTGTCGCGGTCCATCTAGCAGGGATAGGGGTTCGAGAGTGAGTAAGAGCTCGAGAGTTGATCGTGAAAGGTCAGTGAAATTGAATATTTCTCTGCGAATTTTGATTTCTTGATTTTCTTTTCTCGTCGTGCTTACTTGAGCATTGTGAAAAATCGCAATGTGGAGGATACTCGTTGGAGTTTCAAGGAAAATTGAGAAATTTATGGTTATAATTGATGTATAAAGAAGCAGTAATACCTTTCACAACTCGTTTTACGTGAAGTGGCGTCGTAAAACTCGGCGAAAAACGCGATATTCAACGCGGTGATATGCAGTAGTCGTGAAATATGTTTTCCACTAGTGTTTTTCATATCACTAGGGCCGTCCGTGAAACTCTGACGAAAAGTTGGTTTGATATTCACCAACAACAATCGAGAGAATCTCAACACATGTATCGTGTTTGTTAAGCTCCACTTCGCGTTTCACGGGTGGAATTGTAATAATTTTATTCTGCATTTAATTTTCAAGGTTTCATTTTTAAATTTTTGTTTAAATTTTTTTGCCTAAGTGTTTGGGAATTCACACAGATGGAATATTTGTAATTTAGCACTAGTCGACCTACGACGAACTCTCGAGGCTCTGCGGTGACGAGGAGGAGTTCGAGAGCGCGAACGAGCATCTCATCCGTGGTTGATAGTGAGGGTAGCAGCGGGTTAAAAAAATTTGAAAAAAATGAAATCTTCGCAAAAAAAATTTAATGAACTATCTAAGTTTAATGAAAATTTATGAGGAAAATATGTAATTGTCAGCGTCACTCGCCACGAAATTATGTGTTCAGGAAGTGACCTAGTCGATGTAGCTCGGATGTTCTCTAGTGATGAAGAGGAGATGAGCGAGTCGATGGGGTAGGTGGGCAGTATGTGATTCGGAAGAATTGTGGTATAAGGCACGATCGCAGAAGTAGTATGTTGTCACCGAAAGTGTCACCAACAAGGAGGAGTAGTAGAGGACGTAGATCGATTGAGTTGATAATAACAGTGATGAATTTTTCTTGTTCGGTTGGTCTTAGGTCGGCCTCCGAGTCGTGGCAGTGGAGTATCGAGTATGGAAAAGGTGGTAGTTGGTGGAAATTATGAGTGATTACTCTTAGTGTTTGTTTTGGAGTTTCGTGACTCTAGTGATATGCAAAACATATTTCACGACTACTGCATATCACCGCGTTGAATATCGCGTTTTTCACAGAGTTTGATGACGCCACTTCCCGTAAAAAATGGTAGTTGTGAAACTCCAATGAATGAACTCGTATGGGCGGGAGTTTCTGTAATATTTCGAGACGAGTTTTTTTCTTGAGGAAAAACACTAGTGAGTGACATATTCTACTTGGAGGAAAAACACCGAGTAGTATCAGTTGATGATGGAATGTTTGTAGACCTCATTTGAATCTTCGGTGGAGGAACCTAAGATACCTTCGCCGCGACGTGTGACGATATTGCCGCTAAGCTCCTTACAGCCGTTGAGGGAAGCTCAAATGCGGCAGAGGTCCTCGAGAGTAATATGAGGGTTAATAAGAAATATCAAATTTTAGAGCAGCAGCTTTTGGGGGGATTTCCTGAAATTGCGCGTATTTCTGTACATCGTTTTAGATCTCGCACTACTAGTCTAGTAGTACTTGGCGTATATATTATTGTTTTACCAACATTTGTTCGGCAGAAGATTTATGTAGGTCTAAATTTAAAGTATATGTGAGAGAGATTTTTGGATTTCCTGAAATTGTGCATAGCTATGTACACCGTTTCGAATCTCGCACTACTAGGCGTATATTTTGGTTTACCAAGATTTGTTCGGCAGAATAATTAAATCGATTTAGGAATTGTTTTTCAACCCTGAAATTACGATGTGGTTTTTCGAAAATTGTCAATTTGAATTTATCAGGTTACTAATGCACTTGGCGTAATGTTAGTGCTCGCGCTCGCAACTGCATACTGGTAGTTTATAAAAGCGTTTCGGGGAGTATAAGAGGATTTAGGTATCTCCCTGGGCTGCGGCCGATCTACTGCGATGATATTATGAAGGAGGATTGTGAACCATGCCCTCCCAACGCCGAGTGTCGCGGTCGTAGTATGGTGTGCAAGCCTTTGTTCAAGCGCGATGTAGATGTGTGTGTGAGAGATGAACGATTGTAGTAATGGGGCGTTTTAATAGGGGTAATTTATTCCGAAAATGTGATTTGAGTAACTAGCGATGTTCTGAGCGTTTATGTAGTGTTGAAATATAAAACGATGTGAGATGATGAAGAATTGTGGTAATCAGTATGAGAACATATGGTCAGGTTATAAGGAGAAGTTTTCGGTTTTTTTTGGTTTTTGTACATTTTTATTTCGAGCTCAGCTGTTGAAAAAAAACAGTTGAAGTTTCAGCTCGGAATTCGCATTCGTTAACGAGAAACGCAGATTTTTAGAATTTGCCTAAAAATACGCTGCTTATAGTCCTCCATTACTGGTGATAGTGCTGGAGGAATATATGCTCGCTTTTCGCAGCCGAGGTAGAAGTGTGCAGAAAAGAAGGAGAATTTCCCAAAATTTTCCCCAATTTCTTATACTGTTATCAACACACGTAGTTCACCATGTGCATACTTCCCCACACTTTATGGAGGAGAAATTGTTGATATAAAATTTGTTGAAATTGTGGTATAGGTATATGGCAGCCTCCCAGAAAACGAGGAGGATTTTCCGAAATTTTCCCATTTTTTCATATTGTTATCAACTCGCACGCAGAATTGTTCATGTGCGAAATCTCCTACGTTTTTTCGAAGACGAAGTTGTTGATATAAAAATTTGTGATCGAAATTGTGGTATAGGTATATGGCGTCACATCACATGGCAGCCTCTCTAGCTGAACAGCTGGCGGAGCGTCGGGGGGATTATGAATGTTATAAAACTCGGTATCAACTTGATCAGGACGAGGCTAAAAGGTAGTGCGAGGATGGTTACGGTTTGGGTAGTGGATGATAGTATTTTCGGGAAATTTTGGTAATTTTTTGGTGATTTACCGACTTGTTTTTGGAAAAAAAATGCCCATTTTTAACATTTTCCACAGACTGATTTAAATGAGTCACGTATCGTTGTCGTACATTTGACATTAATGTCGTTGAATGAAGTCGGTATGTTTCTGTGGAGACCGGTTACTTGCTTGAAATTTTGGGTGATTCATTAGAATTAGTAGGGCGAAAAAAGATTATTTTTTTCTTACAAAAAAACACTTTTTCATCGATCAGATTTTGATCGATTTTAGGGGTCGTTATCGCGTAGTTAAAATGCTGAAGTTGGGAACAATAATAAAATGAATTTTCCTGAAATTTTGCGAAATTTTCCGATATTTTCCTGAAGTTTTTCGAAATTTTCCTGAAATTTTCCGAAATTTTCCAACACTGCTTTATGTGTTTTTAGATATCTCCGTGTAAAATGTCGGGAGGCGAGAAGACTTGGGGATAAGGACTTCGAAGCGGCATTTAAATTGATGTGTAATAGGGGCTGTTTATATATGCGTGGGTAATCTCGGAACTGTATTACTTCACACGTACTGTATAGGATTATATATACGAGTTCGTATAGAAGTGAAAAGAAATGTGGGAAGAATTCCGCGAAATTTTATCATAATTTCCGTATTGTCATCAACACGCACGTGGTCATTCCCATGATGATGAGGATATGAAATTTTGTTTTTTTTCTGCGACTCGTTTGTAAACTCCTGAGCTGAGCTGAGCTTGAAATTGAAATTGTTTTTCGTTGATTTTTGGTTAGTATCGGAGTCGTTACCCTCTGAGTTTGGCGATCAAGTTGTTCACACTGCTGGGGGTACTTTTTGGTCGTTGAAGTCGTCGAAGAGAATTCATTGCCAAATCGTGGAAGCGATAGAAATGTGGTGGAGACCTGTGACGATGATTTTAATTATCGTCTTGTTGGCTGCATGGAGACTGAGGAGGTAAGCTAATATGGTGTTTTTCTTCTTCATTTTTTTCGGAAAATTTTCGAGAGAAAAATTAAATCGTTTTTGAGAAATTTTTGAAGTAGGAGAAGTAGGATTGTTATGGTAAGCGAATTGGTGAGAAGATATTCTCTCACCACATGAGGGAAATCGTCATAATTTTCTTCACTATCCAAAGGGGTGACGAAATGATGGGGTTTTCATAGAGTGGCGTCTTAGTTTTGAAGTGAGGTTGAAGTTGTTTTGGTAGTTAAAGTAGTTTGAAATTTAATACAGTGGAGTTTCACAACCCGTGTCACGTGAAGTGGCATAAAACTCGGTGAAAACCCGATATCGCGGTGCTATGCAGTAGTCGTGAAATGTATTTTCCACTAGTGTTTTTTATATCACTAGGGTGAAGAAACTCCACTAGTATGTTGATTACACATGAAAATTAATAAGTTTTGGGAAATCGTCGATAATAGTGAGAAAATTATTGAATTCAGCTGAGATAGATATACTGGTATCGTTATATAGCGTGAATCTAAGCATAATTTTTTCTGAGAAGGCGTTTATGTTTGGATATTTGAAAACGTCGTGAAATGATTGTGTATTGGTCTAGTGCGTTTGTAATAGTTTCTTGACAACTACTCCAGCGGAGTTTCTTGACAAGCTTTTTGTAAGAGCATTTTATCACTGCACTACAATGTAGTGACTACATATATTAGAGTTCCTTGACCCTAGTGATGTGAAAAACATATTTCACGACTACTGTGTAGGGTGAATATCGAGTCTTTTTTACGGAGTATTATGTCCCTTCACGTAAAACGTGAAACTCCAGTGCAGGTGGTCGGACAGGAGATGGGCCCGCAAGTCGGCTCTGGAAGCGGTGACGGCGTGTACTCGTCTCGGCAGTGATGGAAGTATCAGAGGCATCAGAGTTCGCGACTTAGCCGTTGAAGTCTTGCATTGGTCTGAGGGGAAAGTACGTACGTATATGGACGAGCTTGCTAAGGAGGCGGCGGACGTGAAGTCTTCGGGAGATGGGGAGTATTGGTCGGATGCTGCGGTGAATCGACTGGTGGCATCGAGTAAGGAGGGAGGGCGCAGCTATCGCATGTTTTGAATTGACGATACTACTACGACTATCACGACTACTATAACTACCATCAGCACAACTACTACTACCCCCGTGAACAATACTACTACGACTATCACGACTACTGTGACTACTATCAACACAACTACTACTACCCCCGTGAACAATACTACTACGACTATCACGACTACTGTGACTACTATCAACACAACTACTACTACCCCCGTGAACAATACTACTACGACTATCACGACTACTGTGACTACTATCAACACAACTACTACTACCCCCGTGAACAATACTACTACTACGACTATCACGACTACTGTGACTACTATCAACACAACCACTACTACCACCATAATTCGTACTACTACTACGACCACCACGACTACTATAACTACTATCAACACAAGTAGTATTACCACTGTGATCAATATCACTACGACCCCCACGACTACTATAACTACTATCCACCACACCTACTACTACTACTACTACTACTACTACTACTACTACTACTACTACTACTACTACTATCACTATTACGACTGCTACTACATCTGCAACTACGATCATCACATCTCAATCGCCTATAAGCTTATGCTGATGAGTGCGAACATAATGAACTTTCCATCATGAGTCATGACTGTGGTGGTGCTCTGATGAAGGGTCACCATTGAACAGATATTGTCAGTCGCTCCTGTTGCGCATAGTAGTCAACCTAACGAGGTCGATCGGACATCTTCGATGCGGGAAAGTAACCGATCAAGGGTTCAACGAAGTCGATCGGACATCTTCGATGCGGGGAGGTATCCGATCAAGGTTTCAACGAGGTCGATCGGACATATCAAGCCTTCAGTGAGGTCGATCGGACATCTTCGATGCGGGAAAGTAACCGATCAAGGGTTCAACGAAGTCGATCGGACATCTTCGATGCGGGGAGGTATCCGATCAAGGTTTCAACGAGGTCGATCGGACATATCAAGCCTTCAGTGAGGTCGATCGGACATCTTCGATGCGGGAAAGTAACCGATCAAGGGTTCAACGAAGTCGATCGGACATCTTCGATGCGGGGAGGTATCCGATCAAGGTTTCAACGAGGTCGATCGGACATATCAAGCCTTCAGTGAGGTCGAGCGGGCATCTTCGATGTAGGGAGGTAGCCGATCAAGGGTTATAGTAGTCCTTGTGTCGGACTACCACGACTACTATAACTACTATCAACACAAGAAATCAGTATTACTACGACTACCATGACAACTTTAACTACTATCAGCACAACCACTACCACCGTGAACAATACTATTACGACTGCCACGACTACTGTAACTACTAACAGCACAACTACTACTGTCACCGTGAGTCGGGTGAACTACGGTCAACTACGCCACTTGACGTAAAACGGGTGAAACTCCATTGAATAATGATAATTCGTTCGGATGATCGTTTCAACTGTTCTGTCATGTGAAAGTCCTCAGAATTCATCAATTGAAAGTTGTACGCAAGAAATCATCCAGGAACCTATAATATTCTCGGAAGAGGAACTCATTTTGATTTTTCCACGTATGGCTGGGAACACATCAGTTTCCCCCATGTAAATGTCATCATCGCATTGGGAACATCAGTTTCCTGTTGATTTTCCGTTGAGTTTCCTGGGATGGGGCAACTATGCCACCGCCGAGAGGTACAGGGAGCCGTGCTCGGAATCACCTTGAGATGCCTTATCAGGGAGAGGCTATTAGGGATGGGGCAACTATGCCACCGCCAAGAGGTACAGGGAGCCGTGCTCGGAATCACCTTGAGATGCCTTATCAGGGAGAGGCTATTAGGGATGGGGCAACTATGCCACTGCCAAGAGGTACAGGGAGCCGTGCTCGGAATCACCTTGAGATGCCTTATCAGGGAGAGGCTATTAGGGATGGGGCAACTATGCCACTGCCAACAGGTACAGGGAGCCGTGCTCGGAATCACCTTGAGATGCCTTATCAGGGAGAGGCTATTAGGGATGGGGCAACTATGCCACCGCCAAGAGGTACAGGGAGCCGTGCTCGGAATCACCTTGAGATGCCTTATCAGGGAGAGGCTATTAGGGATGGGGCAACTATGCCACCGCCAAGAGGTACAGGGAGCCGTGCTCGGAATCACCTTGAGATGCCTTATCAGGGAGAGGCTATTAGGGATGGGGCAACTATGCCACCGCCAAGAGGTACAGGGAGCCGTGCTCGGAATCACCTTGAGATGCCTTATCAGGGAGAGGCTATTAGGGATGGGGCAACTATGCCACCCCCAGGATTTTTTTTGTTTTTCCTCGATTTTCCTCTCACGGAGTCGTTCAGTGACCGGACGAAAACCCGTTATAGCAGTGTGGAAATATATATTTGATTCCATTAATTCAGCTTGATAGGAGCTGACACTGATAAGGAGCTTGACACTAGTATCCTACCAACACCCGAGGCTTATAGAGCTCAGATGAGAGAGGTAGTAGTAGTACACCATGGATGGCGATGGTGTACTATCACTCTTCAGATGGAGATTGAGCGTCAACAGGCCATGGAGGTGTCTGAGGCGGTGGTGAGATGCCCAGTGGTGAGGACAGCAGTAGTAGCAATCTACTCTACGATATGGTACTCCCAGTCTGAGGAGGTCCTGGTTAGTCTTATTAGGTTATAAGACCGTGATGTTATAATTGATTATTTTTCGATGTATTTGGTGTAGCATGAGCTGGCCCATGGTGTACCATAGGACACCCATCGTATCATTACACTATTCTTTATAGACGTTGTGTTGGTAGTGCTAGTCACAGGACCACTAGTTGAGGCAGCTCCGTTCAGCGAACATTAAATTCCAAGCAGCCGCTATCGTTGCACCAACAGTAGGAGGTGACAAGCAGACCGGTACACCGCTAACACGAGACAACCACAATCTATAATGGCAACCCTTTGGTCAGAACAACAGTTTGTGAGCATCTTACTTGCCACCCTCAAACCCCTGCCGCTTACATTCTCTGTATAGTCCAATTTGAGGTCAGTGAGAAACGAATCGACGTTTCAATATACACCCTCGTCGCCGCGTGTTACTATCATGCTGCTCAACAACTGTCAGTCAAGTGATACGAACCATCCGGAAGTAAATTAAGAAAGATAACGACGTTTCACTGTACACCCTCGTCGCCACTTGTTACTATCATGCTGCTCAACAACTGACAGTCAAGTGATGCGAACCACCCGGAAGTAAGCTAAAAAAGATAAAGACGTTTGACTACTCCAACAATGATATGCAACGATCGGTAGAATCAACATTCCTTACAAAACTACTACTATGATTAATCACCATCATACATGGCGATGATTCATGGTTGGTGACTCTGGTGGGGCATCGACTCCTCCCATTTGAGAGTATAAATGGCCGGCAGTAGACTGCACGCGTCGAGGTGGAGGTCTTGGCGGAGATGTTGAGGGCCTTTGGTCATGACAATATCCCATATACGATGAGTAATAATCATCGGGAGTCCTCCAAAATGATGTTTGCATATATGTCGATGACCGTGGTGGATGGCATGACTGTTGGTCGTATGAGCATATGGCGATTTGAGACGCGCCTGAGAGAAGCTCTAGATGTTGCCTTCACTTGCAAAGCAACATTGATAAGACAATCGTAATCGAATCGTTTCTAGGAGCTCATTGCACGGGAGGCTGAACAACACTACATAAAAGCATTTCTGTTGAGCCAAGATGACTCATCTTAGATGAGGTTGTTACTCTAATACTTGACAATTTTTCGAGGCCACTATCATGCTGTACACCCCCCCCCCCCCCTGTGAGTTATAGGAGCTACATCAAATCCTATCTAGCTATAGCTAGGTCCCTCCTCCACCAAAGGCAGCCGTGAGGGGAAATATGCACATGGTCAACTATATGTGTAACACATAATGTGTTGGCCATAATATGGGAATTTCGGGGGATTCTTCTTGGTTTCTGTACACTTCTACCGCAAATTATTCTACCGGGAAACGACAACATTTCCCTGCTGCTTCTGATGCCTCATGCAGATGAGACCATTGGAGATGATCGAAGCGAGTCGGACAATGTTACTGAAGCGATGGCTGTTTTCACTATGGCAATCATTTCGCTGTTTCAGGTGAGATTATTACCATACCCACAACCACTACTACCGACTCTGAGTCACTGTAGTACACTGTACTCACCTACTATAATAAAAACACTCTACGTTAGAAACCAAATCCATTCCTCTCGCTAAACCTGAGCGGACTCATACCACACCTCCACGACAGACAATTTGTGAACTCCCCAGTAATCATAAAATACGATGGTT